AAGGAGTCATGCCGAGCTTCACCCAGAGTGAATCTGATTGCATGGAAGTCACAGTTGTTTGGCAAGAAAACTATGAAACTTTCATGATTTATTTATGTTTTTGTTAGACCAGAAATCAATAATAGTTACTTTTCCGGACTAAAAATTCTAGACACTTTACCAAGCCATTGTGACCACTTGCTATGCTGGTTAGAAACATTTGAGACCTGAAGCCAAACAAATAATGAGTAACATTTCCAAGTTCTGGTATCAGATCAAAGTGATCTCTAGCTTTTCATGATGGGTGAAGCTTTATTTACTTCTGTGTCACAAGCCAGAACTGGTTGTCCTTTATGTAATACAAAGGATAGTATCCATTTTGCCATATGGTGTAACATGCTACCAACTGAGACTGCACCATGCAAATATAGAAAACATGCAGCATGGTTCAAAACTTCTTGTAAAGTTGAACTACCTTTACAGAAGTGGTTGGAGAAGATGTAGATTATGTAACATGGTTCTAAGTAAGCAGAAGTCAATTCACTCAGGAAAATGTTGCAGTACATTGTTGGTGTCTGTATGTGGAAATGTGGAGTCGGCTTTAGAAATACTTTAGCACGTTCTAACTCAAGGCTACCTGTCATTATTTGACAAGAACCTGTGTTATTTGCTTACTCGGTTCTCAAAAAAAATTCTTCCAGAAATGTTTCTGAGCCTGTCTAGGGGACCTTCAACACAGCCCTATATCCCAAAACATCAAGGCAGAAAATCTCACATAATAATAATAAATGATCTGCACACATTATTCGCCGATACATCACACAGTCCTAGACACTTGGGAAGTGTCCGACGTGTGATCCAATACAACAGCCAGCAGAGTGATCTTGTTTGCTGTGGATTCAACTTGTTGTGTTTCAGATAATAATAATATCAATATCAAGCACGGGCATGTGAAAAATGTGGTCAGCAAAGAATATATCCAAAAAGTCAGAAAGGTTTTGAAGAGCAAGTTAAATGGTGGAAATACAATCAAGGCTATCAACACCTGGGCCATCCCCGTCATTAGATACACTGCTGAAATTGTGAGCTGGATGATCTGGACAGAAAAACAAGAAAACCGATGACAATCCACTACTCATTACACCCACGTAGTGATGTCGACAGACTTTACCTGTCCAGAAAATCAGGAGGCAGAGGACTTCTACAAGTGAAACAAACGGTAGAAGAAGAGAAACATGCACAGGCAGATTATGTGAAAGGCAGTCAAGAACCAACATTGAGGGAAGTCAGGAGTAGTAAACTGCTTCAAGTGCAAAAGACAAAGAATGAATACCGTAAAAACACAATCCAGAGCAGAAGAGAAAACTAGCGAAAAAAGGCTCTCCATGAACAGTTCCTGGGAAAATTGAGAGCCAAACTGACAAAGAAAAATCATGGCTGTCGCTCACAAATGGAACTTTGAAAAAGGAGACGGAGGGCCTGATTCTGGCAGCCCAAGAACAAGCCATTAGAACCAATGCCATCAAAGCCAGAATTGAAAAATCGACAACAGATCCCAAATGTAGACTCTGCAAGGAAGCAGATGAAACAATAGATCACATCCTCAGCTGCTGCAAGAAGATCGTGCAGACAGACTACAAGCAGAGGCATAACACTGTTGCTCAGATGATTAATTGGAACTTGCGCCACAAATACCATCTGCCTGCGACAAAGAACTCGTGGGATCACAAGCCAGAAAAAGTTACAGAAAATGAACACATCAAGCTACTCTGGGTCTTCCAGATTCAGACAGACAGAGTTTTGGAGCACAATACTCCTGACCTCACGATCGTGTTAAAAAACAAAGTATGGATTGTCGATGTTGCAATCCCAGGTGACAGCAGGATTGAAGAGAAACAACTGGAAAAGGTGACACGATATGAGGATTTAAAGATTGAACTGCACAGACACTGGCACAAACCAGTAAAGGTGGTCCCAATGGTGATTGGCACACTGGGTGCAGTGCCTAAAGACTTTGGCCTGCACTTAAACACAAACAGCACTAACAAGATTACCATCTGCCAGCTGCAAAAGGCCACCTTACTGGTATCTGCAGGCATTATTTGCTGATGCATCACACAGTCCTAGACACTTAGGAAGTGTCCGACGTGTGATCCAATACAACAGCCAACAGAGTGTCTATTCTGGACTCATCTTGTGGTGTTTCAAATAATAATAATAATAATAATAATAATAATAATAATAATAATAATAATAATAATATCTTTATCCCCCACCACCATCTCCCTGAGTGGACTCGGGATGGCTTACATGAGGCCAAGCCCAACAATACAGCAATACAAATATACAAAACAGGAATACAACAGTAAAATATAAAGAAAAAATAAATAAAATACAAAAAACAATATAAATAAGCACAACAAACAATATAAAATCACAATAATCGAACACAAAAAGAGGGAAAAATTGATCACAGTGGGCAAGGCCAGTTGCAAAGATTCAAAGTTTAAAAACACTGGGTGAGAGAGCAATGTAATGTATCTGAACAGGGGATCTGGGGAATGAAAATAGGGATTAATTGCACTAGCAGGTAAAATAAAGTGCTTCTGAGGGCATTTTTGCAGGGTTTAGTCAGGTCAGGGATTATTGTTCATTCAGTCATTGAAGGCACACTGGAACAACGAAGTTTTCAAGCTCTTCCTAAAGACTGCCAGAGTGGGAGCTTGCTGAATTTCTCTGGGTATGGACTCAGATAACCCAGTTCAAAGCAGATATTGTGGGATTTTCTGTCCTGATATTCTGGGATGTAGGGCTGTATGGAAGGGCCCTAGGTCCTCCAGTGTAATTCTATGATATGCTCCAAGCCCATGTTTAATCAAACTGCAAGGTTCTCTATTATCCATGGTTTTGGGTATCCACGGAGGGTCTCAGAATGTATCCCCCATAGAGAGGGGAAATCATACTGTACAGTGTTTATTGCATTTATATTCTGCTCTTCCTCCAAGGAATTTAAGATAGGGGTTTAAGGCCGATCCCCCACCTCCCGTTTTTATTGTTACAGCAATCCTTGTCTGGCTGAGACCCTGTTTACACTGTCATGTCATGCAGTTATACGTAACTGCATAATATAATCAGTGTAGACTCATATAATGCAGTTTAACTGCACTGAACTGTGTTGTGTTGTTGTTTATTCGTTCAGTTGCTTCCAATTCTTCGTGCCCTCATGGACCAGCCCAAGTCTGAGCTCCCATAGTGTGTTGTATGGCAGTGTAAATGAGACTTGAGTGAGAGTAATTAGACCAAAGGCATCCAGCAATTTTCATAGTAGAATATAGATTTAAATCAGTTCCGTTTAGAAAAAAGTCCGGGATCTATTTGGCAAGTAAAACTCATGGTTTCTGACTCAGCCTGTCTTCTGGCCTCATGACAAATTAGGGAAATAAGGCTTTTGTGAGTAGATGACACAGGGCCCTTCTACACAGCTGTATAAAAATCCACATTATCTGCTTTGAACTGAGTTACTTTACTTAGGCGATCCCTTGTAGTCCGAGGGTGATCGTCCTCCAAGTGTAGTATCCTGGCGGTGGGTCCATAGGTGACTGCAGAGCCCTATTCTTGATCTGCATCTTCTCCCACATTCATTTGCTTTAATTCAAACAAAAGGGTTATTTTTCTTCCCAGTTGCTAAGAAGAGCACCTTCTCACCACCATATGTTACTTACTACCTGAGTTTGAGGCAATATGGTGATCTGTTTAATAAAACGAGTAACCCAGGTGTATGTTCACATAGGTCCCTGAGGCTCTGTAAATGTTATTGCATGGACATCAAATTGCTTTTGCAGATATTAGGAGTGAGAAACATGAGGTGGACCACATGTGGACTTATCTCAAAGGGCTTTTGCAGATACTAGGAGTGAGAAACATGAGGTGGACCACATGTGGACTTATCTCAAAGGGCTTTTGCAGATATTAGGGGTGAGAAACATGAGGTGGACCACATGTGGACTTATCTCAAAGGGCTTTTGCAGATATTAGGAGTGAGAAACATGAGGTGGACCACATGTGGACTTATCTCAAAGGGCTTTTGCATGCCTCCTACTGAGGCTTTCAGTGAGAGTGATGTGTCCCTTCCAAGACGCATGACATGGTAAAATGGGAAGAGAGGGAGAGAGACTTACTTAGGTGATCCCTCGTAGCTCAGGGATGATGGTCCTCCCAGTTCAGTGTCTTGGTGGTGAGTCCGTAGGTGGCTGTGGAGCCCTATTCTTGATCCACATGTTCTCCCACAGTGAGGGCATCAGTTTTCAGGTGGAAGACGGTCCCGGTCGGGGTTGGCTTGACACGCCTTCCTCTTGGCACGTTTCTCGCTTTTGCCCTCCATTCATGCCTCTTCAAATTCTGCAGCACTGCTGGTAACAGCTGACCTCCAACTGTAGCGCTCAAGTACCAGGGCTTCCCAGTTCTTTGTCTATGCCAGAGTTTTTAAGGTTGGCTTTGAGCCCGTCTTTAAATCTCTTTTCATGTCCTCCAACATTACGTTTTCCTTTCTTGAGTTTGGAATAGAGCAACTGCTTTGGGAGACGGTGGTTGGCCATCTGGACAACGTGGCCAGTCCAGAGGAGTTGATGGCGGAGGACTGGGTTATATGGTAGTGTAGACCAGGCCTGGGCAAACTTGGGCCCTACAGGTGTTTGGACTTCCCACAATTCCTAACAGCCTCAGATCCCTTCCTTTTGGTTGAAGGAGGAAAGGAAAGGGCCTGTGGCTGTTAGGAATTGTGGGAGTTGAAGTCCAAAACACCTGGAAGGCCTGGTCTACACACTGAGGCTATAACGCAGTTTAATTGCATTGAACTGCATTCTATGGCAGTGCAGGTGAGGCCTGGGAATTGCCAGGCAATCCACTAAAAAGTCTGGGCGAAGTGAGGGCAGTGACTTCACTGCGCGTGAGGGCGCATGCGCAGGGCCTGCATCACAACCTGCCCACTCCCAAGGCAGCGAAATCCGATTCCGAGTCAGGGCAAAAAAATGACAAGGCCGGCGTCGAAGTGATCTACTGAGCATGCGCGTGGCTGTGTCGCTGTGAAAACAGGACGGGCAGCTGTTGTTGCTGAGCAGGAGAAAGAGCCAAAACAAGGGCTCCTTCTTTTTCTGGAGGGGGAAAAGACTCCATTGCAACGCTGGTGAGTTTTGATAGGGATGTTGGGTGGTGATGAAAAGAGGCTGAAATGGATGTTGGCAGCATGGAGATGATGGGGCTGGTTGTGGAAAGATATTGTGCCTTGGGAAGGAGGGAGATGGAGTGGATGAGGCCTTGAGAAGGAGAAGGGTAATGAGCCCTTGGACTGTGAGGTGCCCACATACATTTCATTCTCAAAGGGTAAATGCATGGGAGTTGGAAAATCAGAAATCTTTTTTTAAGCAATCCAATTCTTGTCCAATTCAACAATCCAATTCTTGTCTCTTCAAGGGGAAATCATCTTGCAGTGCTTTACAATGGGATTTACTTGTGTGATCTATATTTCAGAGAAAGGCACTTCAAAATATGAATTCATTCCAAACAGGCTTTGTAGCTATGTCACCAAAAAAATGCTGAGAAATGACTGCTTCTTTTGAGGTTTCAATGGGCCCTTCGACACAGCCATATGAAGTCGAGCATGCCCCCCCCCCGCCCAACAAGGGATGGTGACTTATAGTTCTGCAAAGGACAAAGGTACCAGACTGCACAATAGGGGTTAAGTCTTGGTCAATTTGCCAAGGCCTTAACAACAATGAGGACCCCATGAAACTTCGGGAATAGCTAGACCAGTGTTTCTCAACCTTCCTAATGCCGCGACCCCTTAATACAGTCCCTCATGTTGTGGTGACCCCCAACCATAATATTGTTTTCGTTGCTACTTCATAACAGTCATTTTACTACTGTTATAAATTATAATGTAAATATCTGATATGCAGGATGCATTTTCATTCACTGGACCAAACTGGGCACAAATACCCAATACACCCAAATGTGAACGCTAGTGGGTTGGGGGAGGATTGATTTTGTAATTTGGGAGTTGTAGTTGCTGGGATTTATAGTTTACTTATAATCAAAGAGCATTCTGAACTCCACCAGCAATGGATTTGAATCAAACTTGGCTCCCATGACCAATGGAAAACACTGGAAGAGTTTGATGGGCATTGACCTTGAGTTTGGGAGTTATAGTTCACCTGTATCCGGAGAGCACTGTGGACTCATGCAATGGTGGATCTGGACCAAACTTAGCATGAATACTCAGTATGCCCAAATGTGAACACTGGTGGAGTCTGGGGAAAATAGATCTTGACATTTGGGAGTTGTAGTTGCTGGAATTTATAGTTCATTACAACCAAAGAACATTCTGAACTCTATCAACGATAGAATTGGCTCAAACTTCCCACATGGAATCCCCATGACCATCAGAAAATACTGTGTTTTCTTATGATCTTTGGCGACCCCTCCGACACCCCCTTGCGACCCCCTCAGGGGTCCCAACCCCCAGGTTGAGAAACACTGCTAGACCATGGGGTCTCTGCCTCTCTCTCGAGAGCTGTAGTTTTCCAAGGACCATGGGACCGGCTTCCATCCCAGGGCTGCAGGGCTTTGTGTCTTGGCCCAGTGGAACTCCATAGACTCCCTTTGGTGCCTTTTTGAATTCTGCTACATTCCTGGACTTCACTCTCTTCAAGGACTCGCTCTCTACCCATGAACTTTCTTCAAGACAACTTATGAATTCATGCTGTGTCCTGATATTGTCTGCTTTTATAATTGTATTATTAATTTCTCCCACGCCACATATAATTCAGAATATCAAGGCAGAAAATCCCACAATATCTGCTTTGAACTGGGATAACTGAGTCCACACTACCATATATCCCAGGGGTCTTCCACACAGCCCTATATCTTAGAATATCAAGGCCAAAAATCCCACAATCATAGAATCATAGAGTTGGAAGAGACCTCATGGGCCATCCAGTCCAACCCCCTGCCTAGAAGCAGGGCTGATTTGAATGCAATTTTCCTTCTTCTTGGCAGGGGGTTGGACTGGATGGTCCATGAGGTCTCTTCCAACTCTGTGATTCTATGATTCTATGAATATTGCATTCAAAGCACCCCCAACAGATGACCATCCAGCCTCTGTTTAAAAGCTTCCAAAGAAGGAGCCTCCACCACACTCCGGGGCAGAGAGTTCCACTGCTGAATGGCTCTCACAGTCAGGAAGTTCTTCCTAATGTTCAGATGGAATCTCCTTTCTTGTAGTTTGAAGCCATTGTTCCGTGTCCTAGTCTCCAGGGAAGCAGAAAACAAGCTTGCTCCCTCCTCCCTGTGACTTCCTCTCACATATTTATACATGGCTATCATATCTCCTCTCAGCCTTCTCTTCTTCAGGCTAAACACGCCCAGCTCTTTAAGCCGCTCCTCATAGGGCTTGTTCTCCAGACCCTTGATCATTTTAGTCGCCCTCCTCTGGACACATTCCAGCTTGTCAATATCTCTCTTAAATATCTGCTTTGAACTGGGATGTCTGAGTCCACACTCAGAAAATGTGGGATTTTCCACCTTGATAGTCTGGGATGTAGGGCTTTGTGGAAGGGCCCCCAGTTCCAAGCAGATAATATGGGATTTTATCCAGCTCTGTAGAAGGGGCCAATGAAAACACCTTTCAAGTCTTCCTTGCCGAGGAAGGTTTAAGGTAAAGGTTTTACCCTGACATGGTCCAGTCGTGTCCGACTATGGGATGTGGTGCTCATCTCCATTTCTAAGCCAAAGAGCCAGCGTTGTCCGTAGACACCTCCAAGGTCATGTGGCCAGCATGACTGCATGAAGCGCTGTTACCTTCCTGCTGGAGCTGTACCTATTGATCTACTCACATTTGCAAGTTTTCGAACTGCTAGGTTGGCAGAAGCTGGGGCTGACAGTGGAAGCTCACACTGCTCCCCGGATTCGAACCTGCAACCTTTCGGTCAACAAGCTCAGCAGCTTAGCACTTTAACCCACTGTGCCACTGGGGACTCCCATCCTTTCCCAGGAAAACCCTGTGAAATTAATAGAATTGCCATAAATTGACAGGTGACTTTGAGGCACATGAATGTGCAAAGGATCACCCTGTTCATTAAGAAGTGAGATATAACAAGAGGACTGCTTAAATGCCATTTTGAATTAGCCATTCAAAGGTTTAATTTGCTAGGATCTGGCTGTAGGTCAGAAATCCTGCCATCCATGTTTTGGATATGATGCTGATCTCTAGTATGTCCTCTTTCTTTTTGCTCTTTCACTGTCTAGTCTTTCTCCCTTTCTTAATGGTCCCCTTCGTTCGTTCCTTTTCATTTTTGCTGGAAGCAGGCCTCCAAGAGATGTCATCTTGACACTTGCACATAGGGACGCCTGGCATCTATGTCTTTTTTAAGACTAGTATTTATGTTGTGTGCTGTTAAATGTCTTTCATTTGTGCCAAGAGGGTTGTGGCGTGCCAACCGTGACTTCATCTCTGTGTCATTTTCTTCTTTTAATCTTAACCTGTAATAATGATTCTCTTGTTAGTACAGAGTGCAGTGTAATAGAGGTTTGTTGTGTGAAGTGTGACATATGGATCTTGTTTCTGGGGGAAAGTGTGTGTGGGGGGGGGGGGGAATTATTAATATTTTTTACAGAATAAGTAGCTGGGAACCTTCCCAGGCTTTATCTTGGGAAATAGATCCAGGGTAAGGAGAATCTCCACTGGCTAAAGATTGAGTGTCAAGTTTTGTTTTAGTCGCCTCTTAATTTCTAACTATTGATAGACTTGTCTCTTAATATCTAACCATGGAATGCGAGAATGGAAAATAACTCCTCTGTCCTCCTTAACTGATATGTCAGATTACAAATCAGCATGGCCAATTTTTGTTTTTTTGTTTTTGGTGTGTCAGGAGCAACTTGAAAAACTGCAAGTGTGAGAGCATTGGCCGGTAGGCTGTTAGGAATTGTGGGAGTTGAAGTCCAAAACACCTGGAGGGCCCAAGTTTGTCCATGCCTGCTTTAGTCATCAGGGGAATTTTTGGTTTCATCAGACAGTAGAACTCTCTTTCACAGGAGATTAGATTAATCTTACCCTGTTGTTCTCCTGCTGACACAAAAAGAACAATTTATCCAGGGAGGATTTTTGCAACTGATTTGTTGATGTGGAAGGGTTTTTTAAAATTGGTGGTTCTAGTAGATTTTTCTCAGCCAAATGTGTTATCTGGCCGGTTTTGTTTTCATTTTCATATTTCTTTCACCTTTCTTGTTGTGAGCTGTCCTGATTCCCAATACTGAAAGAAAAGCAGGATGTAAAATAAATAAATGACACGGATAATCTATTTTTAATCAAAAGCCGACCTGTAAGTGTTCTTAAGTGATTAAATTTAGTTCTGCTGACACTGTAATTAACAGTGAATTGCCGTGCAGTAGTTGCGGTTAGTTTTGTGAACTGGAGCAAAGTGTGTTGCATTACTGAATGATACGTCCGGTGGGGTAGGGGTGTGAGTGACCAGACCGCCACCCCCCAAACAACAACAACAAAAGCAAATAGCATGAGATTACTAAACTCTAGAGCTAGATGAGTCAATTTCTGTTCACTGAGTGCTGCACATAATCAGTTCAGGCCTCTTTCACACAGCTGACTAAAATCCCACATTATCTGCTTTGAAGTGGAATATATGACAGTGTGGATTCAGATAACCCAGTTCAAAGCAGATATTGTTGGATTTTCTGCCTTGATATTCTGGGTTATATGACTGTGTGGAAGGGCCCCTAGTCACAGTCTAGGGTTGTTATATATCATGTTCCGTACCCGAGTCTCCAGTTTTCATGAATAATCTCCAAGTAGAAGACAAGACTGCAGATTCTTCCATTGAGAAAGAAGAAAGGACCGTGTTCAAATCTCCAAATCTCTTAAAAATATTTACTGTCGGGGCTGAATACCGTGGAATCTTGGAAGTTATAGTTTGTGTCTCCAGCACTCTTTGGCAAAAAAGGCTGAATACTGTGTAAAACTCCCATAATTGCATAGAAAGAACTTTGGCACTTAAAGTGATGTCAAAGTATATTAATTCTACAGTGTAGATGTACCTTTAGCTGGCTTCCTCATTATGGCACCAGGACTTACCGTCAACTCTGCTCTGTATTCTGATTCTTGCGAAAAGCAAG